TCGAAATGGCTCGGAATATTTAACCTTGAAGAGGAAGGAACTGTGTCAGGTTCTATCGCAATGCGTACGCTTTTCTATGAAACCAACATTAATTTTAAATTCTATTTTTCTAATTTCGAAATTCCCCGTGTCAATTAGTTCTGTCTGTCTCAAGAGTATATAAATCTATTTTCAAACACTTAAATATAAATACGAGCCGCTTTTATTAGTATGGCGGTTAACGGATCCTGCCGTCATATCATTGGGTTCAAGTTCGAGTCACAGAAAAGCCATGGATGTTTATAAATGCATTTGTCTTTGGAACACGGGGGCATTTGAGAACCCGTCGAGCCTAAAATTTCCTTGAAAAGTTATGATAAAGGAAGAAGGGTACGAGATCCTCGGATTCCGTTCTCTGTAATTTTCCAAATCAAAATAGGGATGCAAGTTGGTAAAATCTTACAGTCGCCTATAAAATGTTCTCGACTCATTGATCAGTGACAGGTATCGGTCATGCTTAACCTTTTCTAATAATATAACAGATTAGAAGGTTGCATAACAGTAGCAGCATAAGACGCAATGTTTGTTCTTTGTATTACATTTTGGCTGAGTTTTTTTATGAATAGAAAAGAATGTCAGTGACTGAAGAAGGAAGGGTTTTTCTCAGATGCTTTAAGAATATATAATAATTTCTCCAAAATTAAAATTAATTTTAGTGTGAAATTTGCTTACTTTAAAAAAAATTGTATTTGCCAAAAATTAATTACATTTGATTGGGATATAATTGCGACCGAACTAAAATAACTACAATAATACATTTATTTTCCGGTTTCGAATTGAATATAATGTGAGTAAATTGGTAGATTTTCCGTTGTAAAAATATCAAATTTGAAATTTTCTCATTAGTATCAATGATTACTACCATTACAATGAATCCTCCACAGGGGACATAAAAATACTCTTATCTTCAGATAATAACCTACTCTTTTCATACCTAATTGTTTTCGCACCACTTACATGAGCAAACGTCCGCATTGCCAATGGCTCATTGCGATAAATTCTAGCTTTCGGATTAATTGTTTTATATTCTACTCTGGCAAAATATGCTGCGGTAGTTAAATTTGATCGTTAAAAAGGAGTCGAGCTCGTAACTACGAAAGTTCTGCAAGAACAATAGATATTCCTCCCGATTGTCGCTTCATTCCCTACTCGATGGTGGCGGGAGAGTGTTTAGAATAAACAATTTTCTCTCGTGCTTTTCCCCTGAGCTGGAATTCTTTCGACGGCGGGAAACTGCAAGGGAAAATGAGCTGTTTGTAATTAAATGTTCTTGTTTAGAATATTGTTTAGCTACTTCCACTTTTCTGATTAGCCAGCCACTCAAGTTATGCGGCGCTTCCACAGTCTTGCTTTGTTAGGAAGCAGTTTTAAAAGTTTCTAACTGAGGAATTTAAAGCACGCAAATTAAAAATCTTAGATTGTGTATAGAGCAGCCGCACATGTTGATTTTCCAACGCTGTTTTCGAGGAACACCGATAGTTTAATGAAATATTTTGTAAATTGTTATTAAGGCATTTTTATCGGCTTAGTTTTCGTGAGTGCTGTTGCGAAAGAGTCAGGAAGAAATGGTAAGAAAAGTAACCTAAAGCATATGCATTCTTTTATATTTTCGGTTATAAATTCAAATCATGAATCGAAGCTTTGAATTTAAAAAAAAATTGGAACACTTTACAGAATGAAATAATATTTTCATAGACATAGTAATGAATAAACTGCTAATAAATAAATAGTTATTATAACGAGTATCTAATTCGTGTTCAGCGGGATTTTTCTATCTTCATAAAAATATGTCTTTAAAGCTTTTAATTACTAGGAAGATTAAGTGTGAACTCTCTATATTTTCTTTCTCCATTTACGTCAATCCTGTGATGTATATCTTTATAGAGGAGTTAAAAGAGTCAGAATTGCAATTTTTGTAATTGGTCAGAATTAAGAGCCTTCTGAGATGTCGTCATATTCCTTTTCCTATTTCTTTCCTCGATGCTCCAACAGCTTGGATGCCATTTTTTCATTCAGCAGATAAATGCTTATTTTTTCTCTTCGTGTTTAAGTGAAAGGTGAAGAAATGTTTTTGAATGTTAACGAGCTGAATCTTTTTCTTGAAATTTATAAGAGAAAATATTCTTTTAAACCGCTTTCCCTCCAAGAAAAAATTTTAAATTGTGAGGAAATTGAATAAGAAAAATTAAGTAAATTATGAAAAGTTGGTCATGACGCCCAACTATATAATCTATGTATTTATATAACGTTCGTTACGTACTTACTTATATGATCGCTAAAAGTATATTAAAGTCGCTAAGTATTTATATGATGGTCATGACTCCGAGTTATTTTACAATTAAAAATTTTTCATTATAAATATCCTCTTCTTAATTGTTAATAAATTTGTTTTAAAAGCAAGTAAATTACGGAAAAATAAATGAAAATTTACTATTTTTGAAACATTCCCATCGCATTATCTCTTGCATTTATTTATGTTTTCAAAAAATAATTTTGTATGATTAAACTCTTGTTGTCAAATAAAATAACTTAAAGGAAGATAAAAGAACTGCAATTCCATTTCAGCATGTACTTTCTAACTTAACAACCATATCCTTTAGCGCAGGTCTTCTTAAACGTTTTTCACTCGCGACCCCTTTTTATCACCGAGATTTTTTTCGGGACCCCAGATATTAAGTATACAATAAAGATGTAAGAACAAATATCCTCCCATAAATAATTTACTTCTTTGGTAAACAATATACATATAAAAAGAAGTATTTTAGGATTTATTTTAAGTAGACAAAAATTAATGAAATTTCCAATGAGACAGATGTGTTTGTTTTCTGCTGCCTAGCAAATTAAATTTGAGATATTTGACACTGCTGACATAAAGCATCTTCAGCATATTTCAGCGTTGAACGACATTTGGTTTTAATTAGCGTTGAAACTGAAAAAGTAGTTTTATAAAAATATGTGGGGCTGAATGAGAGAAGAACATTTAATGCCATATTAGAAATAGCGAAAAATCTAGTTCTAACTCTGATCTAGAGTTCATCAAGGATTTTTGTGAAAACTCAAGTTTTAAGTTTGAATCGCTAGGTTCAAACTTAAAAAATTGAGTTTTCACAAATAGCTTGAGTTTTTACACCTGTTATATACAATTTGTATTTTATATAACGGGTATTTATATTTCTTTAAGTTATTTTAGGTAATTACTCTCATTAATATTAATTAATGTAATGTCTTTAAAAATCTAATCTCATCAATGCCAATCAATGTAATTTCTTTAAAAGTCTTCATAATGCAGTTTCTTTAAATTCAGCTATCAAATTGAATTTCATGACCCCAAATTTCAATAGTTTTCGAAATTTCGATAGCGATCCATAGTTTAAGGAATTCTGCTTTAGCGTAATATTTATTTCATAAATTTTCTACATTAATTTCTCGCAATACTTTACATAAAAAATGGGGGGGGGTTGCCAACTTAAGGATGTTTCTCTTCATCAGTTATTTTACTTTTTCGTATTTTTAATTAATTAATTTATTTATTTACATTAAAGATGCCTTTTTGATAACATTCCCATTGAGAGAGCATTCAGATGTCTAGAAACACGATTTCTCAAATTACATTTCACGCGTATTCACACTAAGAGATTCATTTTTTGCTACGGTGGTGGTCCGTTTGATATGATTTGACTTTCATGTGTTGGGAATTCTGTTTATTCCACTCATTCTTTTCATTTTTGAAACTGAAACAGATAACTTCCTTCCTCTCCTCGTTAATCTAATTATCTGCAGTAAATTTATTTCAGCCTTATTGTTTATCGTAATTTTTTTTCTGTTTGTTGTCTTCTGATGGGAAAACTGACCGTGCTAAACAAAAAATAGTTTCTTTTTACTCTTACGTTTATTTGGTTCTCAATGCTTGTTCTTCAAAATTCTTTTCTTTCTCATAAACTCAGTTATTTTAAATCACTTGTCTTTGAAAGGTGAATTTTCTCTCAGAACTATAAATAAAGCCTTTAAAATTAATTTTTATTGTTATTATAAAAGATTTTCTTCTGCTAAAAATAACTTGATAGCATCATTTTCATCCCATTTTATCTTTCTCTGAGTCATAAAATTACTGATATTCTCCTCAAGTTCAGTCTTTAAGTCATTTTCTCACTATTAATAAAACTCATTGTTGGATCCTTAGAGATCACATTTTTGATTTTAATTCTTGAAGATAACTTCAACTTTCAATTCTACTTGCGGAGAGATTTGACACATAAAAGCCAAACCAACACTGCATTAAAACTGCATGTCAAGAAACAAGAATCTTATGTTCATAAAGAAGTAAATAAACCTTCGATATTTAATCATAGTTGGGCACTTAATCCCAGTTTTGATTTTATTCTGAGAAAATTACCAACCAAGTTTTCCAGTTACTGACTCGGATTTACGTTGAAGATTTTCACATTCTCAAAAAATAATGTAAATTTATAGTACTGTATATAATAATATATATAATTCATAATAATTTATAATAAGAAAACTTTCCATATACGATCTCCAAGGGTTGCAAATTAATTTTAAAACCATGAATGAAAAAATTAGACAGCATTTTAATTAAAATTAGTATTTTTCAACCTATTTGCTTAAAAACGTAAAAAACTGCTAAGAAAATCTTTAATCGCAAAATCGCTAATATATATATATTTTTATATATTAATATTTAAAGTAATATAATAATCTTATATTTTTTTACATTAATTAAAATTTAGTTCTTTCCAGAATTTTCAAAATTTTTAAAGAGTTTGCTTTTTTCACTTTCGTTACCACTTTAAAATTCTGTGCGGTTGGTTTCTTTGAAAATAACAGTTCAATTTAAAATTTGCAATTGCATTTATAACTTTTTTTTTTTTAGCAATTCGGAAAAAAAAAAAAACAAAAAAAAAAAAAAAAAAACAAAAAAAACCTGTTTTTTTCCTTTTCAGAAAAGGCACGTTGTGAAGCTCAGAGGACTCTCATGTTGGAGCAAGGGCACAAGACTGAGCTTTTCATTCCAGATTGCAAACCTGATGGAAGTTATGCTGAAGTTCAATGCCATACATCAACGGGTTACTGCTGGTGCGTCGATGAAGCAGGCAAACCAGTCAAAGGATCCTCTATTCAACACGAGCGACCCAATTGCGCTGTCAAAGTTAGGCAACAGTTGGCTGAGAAAGGTAGGCCTCAGATTGCTGAGGGAGGTACGTATCGAATGGCTCCTTTGATCTAATTTTGCTGTAATTTTTAACTATTCAAGGGACTTTGGGAAAAATCTAGACCTCTGAATGTTTAGCAGTTACGCTTAGATCAGTATTAAAATACCCAACTATATTAGTATTTTGACTGCTACCCGTAAATTGCATGCGAGTTTTGTAGTTTTAAAATTCATAAGGAATTGCTGTTAAGTTAGTAGTAATTCATCAGGATACATTAAGTGAAATTTTACTTTCTTAATGGCCTAACACAATTTTATTTTCATTCGCTGAGGAAAAAGCGAATCCATTGGTCTGACCGAGACTATTCCCTAAAGCTGCATTCAGACGAGGGATTTGCAATAATAACTGGCATAAGCCGAATTTCCTTCCTAGGCAATAAGACCTTGCTATGTCACAAAATTCGATGGAAGGAGTTTACCTAAAGAGTCCACCTTTTCGAATTTATGCCGACTTGGTATAAGAACCGACCAATCATAGCGAAGAAAAAAGTAATGATATTCGGTCGACGGTTTCGTTTAGCTGCACACTTACGCATATGCAGTTTTATCTTCCCTTACTGGCTACAGCTTTAAACTCTGTTTCGCAGGTGTGAATGGAGTTAATGACCTTTTTGCCGTAAGCCAAAGACAGGTGACGGAGGACGGAGACGCCTGATGTTTAACAGAGGTAAACAGGCATATGTCCCGCGCCCTTCCCTATCTAGTGGCAGCAACTCCCAGGAGCCTCATGAGGCCACCTCAGGGGTTTATTGAAGAATTTTACGTAATTGTACATGGCCTAGTTTTGATCGATAGGCGAATGATTTGTTACATCTTTGTTGTTAGACACTGTTAAAGACCTAATTACAAGCAATACATACACATGCAAGACATACACTTGACATATAAAGAACATACAAAACACTTGTAAAACACATATAAAAGCACTATATATAAAACATGTAAGCACATTATAGAATAATAGAAATTAGATAATAGTTCGCACACACTTATACAAGTAAAACACATACTTATAGTAGTGACGACTAGACCATCGAATGAATGATTCCTAAGATACACCATAGGTAGAGACAAATATTTCAACGTTAAATGAAAGAACAGCGTCAGAAAAATAAATAGGCAGGCATTATGCGGAACCCAACCTGTTTCCATTTGTGCTTTAACCAATAACCACTATTCATAATTCTGAACGCCGCCCTAGTGGGCCTCCGTCCGGAATGTTATTCACATAGAATTTTAATGCCAAATCATCGAGTGGTTTTTATGGACCTTGATGTGCTTGGGCAGCAACACGTGTTATGTAGATACGCTCACTCATCACATGGCTATAGGTTCTTAATGTGAGCATGAGATCATCATAGAAGACTTAAGCACATGTATTCCTTTGAACAATCAGGAAACGACAGAATCAGAATGAGAACTGGAGCTGCTCAAAGTAATACGTAGGATTGTATAGGAGGGACAGCTTAATAACAGAAACACATGAAAAATTAAAAAATCAAAGAAAACAAAATCAGACAGACATAACAGTTATGAATTGCTAACCACCATGCTGACTAGCTAGGCGTTAATTTAGTTATTCGGTGTGTGTTCATAACTAGTTGATTTTATCCTGTGTGTATTCAATGATCCGTGCATTACTTAATTTGAATAGGTAATTAACCATATTCTTTCTTGCTTATCAATATCTCCATACAAGACACAGATTTGACTGAGCGTAACCTAATTACTTTTAGTGTCTATAATTACTGAAATTTCATGGTTTCCGTTAAACTGACATTTGGAAATTAATTTATTCTACGTATAATGACAAAGTAAAACACAATCATAAGCCACATGGTCAGTAGAGAAGTAAAAAGAATAATATAAACAAAAGTAATTCAAACTAAACGGGGGTAAGATATAGTGCTTTTAAGTACTGCCGCTCTAATCGTTATAGTGGTTAGCGATACTAACTGCCGTATCGTTGGCCCCGAGTTCGAATTCCGGAGAAAGCATGTTTGTTTGTAAGTGTATAATGTCTGTGCAGCATGGGATACTAAAAATTCTGGCGATACAAAAATCCTCTCTTAGGATTTGGTGGTTGGGAAAGAGGGCTAACAGACCCTAGAATCCTTTCCCTGGAGCGTTCTGCATTGAAATGGAAATGAAGCTGAGTGATAAATGCAATGTGGCTATACCTGTACAATAATGGTGAAATTCTTGTGCTGGCCCTTTCTTACCTATATTTATTTATATGTATATATAATATAACCTTTATATAATTTCTTATCTAAATTTATATAAAATAGGCAGAAAATAACGAATCTCTAATTAACGCTGATAGCTTTGGGCTAATTCGCTGTTTTAGATTATAAAGAAAGTGGGCAAACAGTGATGAGTCGAATGAACTGAGAATTACTGAATAAAAAAAGCTTGAATGAGAAAGAAGTTATTTTCTCTCTTAGAGCAAACGAAACAATTGAAAAACATTCTGTTAAAACTTAAGACTTAGAACTGATCTGTTTTTACAGAACAGAATGGAAGGTAATTCTAGAATTATGCAAATTTATTTCGGTTTGTGTTATGTTCATGAAAATATGATCTTAAGTATTCTTAGAAGAAATTTCCATTTCAGTTATACTCGTTTGTAAAATAAAGAGAATTTGGTCGTTATTTCAAATTTCTGAAAAAACTAAACAGATTTTAATGAAATTTGATACACATAAGCATTTAATACAGAAAAAGAAATGTGGCATTCAAAAGTCATTCTATGTACGCATGATTAAAGGTTTTAGTGTAGGGATTTCCAAAATCCACACTGTGATATCGAACTGAAAATTAGTCTAATATTGGGTATTAGACTCATCTCACAACCAGGCAGGTCGCACAACGTGACAGCGTGCTAGGCAGGAGACAGTTGAGGAGATCCTGCTGCAGTCCACCCCACTCCTGCAGCAAGGCAGTTTTCAATTCGGGGATAATTCTTAGAAGGCGATAGCGAGATGAAATTGCCCTCCGAAGAGAGTCTGAGATATGCGTTTTAATTTTAAGGTCAGGCTTGGCTGAGCTATTTCTATTGGCAAATATTCTCGCTTTCCTTGTAATCATCGACCAGCTGAGCCCTATGTGGACGTGTACTGTCATCCATTGACAGGAACCCAGGATCAGTAGTGTCCCTGAAATGTCGAACAGAAGGCTCTAAAATCTTCTGTTTAAACCTAATAGCAGTGAGTGAACCGTTCTCAAACACATGCAGAGGTATGCGACCGTCCAACATAATGCCTACCCGAACCATTATACCTCTACCACCGTAATTATCCTTTTCTGTGATGAGGGAGGGTTGGTATCGTGTTCCAGGCTCTCTTCAAATACGGGTACGCTGAGAATCAATATTGAAGCTGAATCTCGGACTCATCTATAAAAAAACATGGTGCTCCACTGAAAACTACCACATGATGCTCTACTCCAAAGCTATTAAGAAAGTTGTAACCATATGAAAAGAATTCTCGGCATATGTATGCATTGTAATGTACTGAGATCTTTTCCAGTTGGATTAGGGCTGTGGCTCCAGATGTGCAGCGAAAAGATCGGGAGAAGCTCCACTGTCATAGTGCTTTAAAAGCCTTTTCCATTTATAAGTCTAGAGTGGGAAGTCCGCTGGTAAGGTGACATCTAACAAATTTCATAAAATGTAAGCCTTGGAAGAAAACGTGATAGACAACTGCCAGGTGCAATTTCCTGACTCTGAGAGTTTTAGCCGTAGGATGGTAAACGCGATTAATTTGAATTTTATCTTTTGGCGTTTTTGGAAATCTAAGACGAACATGAGGGTAGCCTTCGAAAGCCACTTGTGGTTCACAGACCATAGATAGTGAAACGCTGCTATAGTGCATAATTTAAATGAGACTCGCGTTGTAGCAAACAGCATTTTGCTTTTGAAATGCAAATTCCAACAGAAGGAAATCTAACAAGATCGCGAGAGCAGCCTTCGAAGACCACATGTGGTCCGCGAAATGAGGCTTGCGCTGTACCAAAGAGCAGTTTATTTTTGAAATGCGATTTCAAACAAAAATTTTCTTTAAACACCCGTTTCTATCATCAATCAGCAATTTAAATTTTTTAAATTACGCTATATTTTCAGTAAATTCAGATAGTGCTGTGTGCTCCTCTTCAGATTACAAAATAGATGGCAAACAATTCCAGTTTTGCCACTTTCCACTGTGGAGATACTATTTTTGGATCAGTAGAAAAGCTGTTATATTGGAAACATGTATTTGCGATGTTCCTTTCATCTTTACCTCAGAACATTACGAAATATGCATACAGCGGAACTTCGGATCGCCAACGCCTCACTTCAAGAACAAAAATCACCTCGGATTATGAACGATATCTCGATTTATGAACACTGAGTCGGCAACATTTGATTTTCATAGGTACTTCAATTAACCAATGCCATATACTAGCACTCAAAGACTTTTGGAAATATCATTTTAATGTTGTAATTCTACAGAATAGAATCCATAAGTTTCATAGTTGTCTTCCCCTGCCATCAACCTTTCGAGGACACTTTCAGCGCGGCGAATTTTCTATGCCTTGCCGTAAAGACAATATTTACTTGAAAATACCCTTGCCGTATACGGAATTCGAATCTAGGCAGCCGGCTTCGCTAACCGCCATACCGAAACAGGTCGGCGTTTAAAATATATTAAATCTGAATGCAACTATTCTTTTCACTGCATCAATTTTCATAAACAGACACATCTGTCACTGAAACTTGGAAAATTTCCTGCTAATTATTGTCGGCAGATAGAGTTTAAAATTTCGGTAAACGCGATGGAAGTCTGAGTCGGCAATTAAGCAGTAAGAAAATTAAAAATTATATAACACCTGTTGCACCATTTTTATTCTTTATTAATTTTTAGATAATGTTTGATAATCTTAGATGTAGATAATGATTTTTAGCATGAATTTTTGACAATACGATTGAATGATACAGAAAAATTT